CCAATGTGGAAATCATGTGACATATTAATTGCAATATGGTGTTTGATTGATTGGTACATAAAGACATCCGGAAGGGCATTATCACGGAATCCGAATTTGAACCATCCACGGTTCATCATGGCAATAAATAGATTGAAGCAAAGGATGAAAGCATTGGACAAGGCAGCTAGTGAGGGTGAATTCAGCGCTGAAAATAAACAAATAAGCATTGAGCATACGAAAGAAATGATTATACCAAAATCACACATGCCTAGCATTAATGAAATGCAAAAAATGTGCCGCGAATTAGGCACGTTAATTAGTATCTGCGGTGTTGAAGGGGATCCATCAAAACGAAGAGTCAAAATCAAGGGAATATTTATGAATGTGCAAAATACCAAAAAGTGGTTGGAGCGCCTTTGTCATGAAAAAATTAATAAAGCTGGATCTGAGGTTATATTGATAGCAGGGAAAAAAGGTTGCAAGTCAGAGCTACCCACTAAAAAAGGAGAACCTGTAGCAAAATATGAATGGTGCATGGAGGCACGGGGGCTCATCAAGAGGCAAGAGAATAATGGTAAATCAGACGATGACGACAATTTAAATTTATTTATGGAGGAAGAACGAATTTCATCCATACGCAAATGGTGCATGGAAGCCCGAAAATGGAACATTGGTCAGGGAACCAAGATGTACAATCATTAATCTACAAGGTATCACGGTAATTCTCCCACCATTCGAACACATTTAAAATTGTATACTTGAAATAAATTGTAAAATCAAACAGAACATGATGTTTCTTGAAATTCACTTAAATAACACTTGCACCAAAGGAGGGTATTAGCGACAAATTTATAACAGATTGACAGACATTAACAAAAAAAGGGGGGACGCTCACTCACAATAGTCAATCAACGCATGAAAAAGGTTTTCAATAACGATGTCAATTGCACGATTGTCATTAATGGTTCACACGCAAAAAAATATAGACTAACATTTGTTCGCTGAAAAAAAAAAAAAAAGAAAAAAGGTTCTTTCTATTAAAATAAAATTTATATAGATAATGCATTAATATAGGTTTTACAGCATTATAAAATAAGGGAAAATAAGGTCACCCAAATTCAATCAAACATGGAAAGTAAGAATGAATGAAAATTAACAGACACCCTGTCAGTAACAGTGAACACAATTGGTTGCCAAAGAACACCATTTCGAAGTCGTTAGGACTGATGGTTGGGCATTCCAATCGGGAAGTGAATCACTCTAAACAAACAATTCAAAGTTTGAACATGATATGACCAATACAAGCCACTAAGAGCTTGAAAGCACAGAAGGAATCCTCCTATGTGAAAATGGACAAAAGGAATCCAAGGCGACCCTTCCTATGTGAAAATGAACCAAAGGTAAAAGGACGGGATGAATTGAAAGACTGAAAACCAGACGATAAAACGGTCTCAGTAAGGACCAAAAATTATTACAATACTGAAGCTGAAAATTACTATCATCATTATTGACAAGGAAGTTAGGTCAATAAAATAAAAAAAAGGGGAAAAGCCATTTCATTTAAAGGATAAAGAATTCAAAAATTATTCAGGTATGAGCTAAGGAATAGGAATTTAAAATCCACTTTCAAAAACGGACTTTTGAGAGAAGTATTTACGCGTGAGGCTACAAGCATTTTTCTGAACACTATAAGTTAAGATATCAAACCATAATCATATAGGTTCAAAAAGTAAAAAATAAAATTATCAATTTAAAAACACTCAAATTAACAGGGGTAGGAAAATTCAAACAACTTTGAGTGGCTTAGGTAAATAAGTGAAATAGGGGTTGCATATTTAGCACAAAGTAGCACAAAATTATATAGCATTTGACATTGTGCTTACTAACTTTAAGCAACTCTTTCGGGAAAAGGTATCAAAATACAGGAATAAATTCAGAAATAACATAAAATTTACAATTATGCGAAAATAATCACGCTGTTCATAAGGTAAAGGTATCAAAAAATATACCTACGTGAAAAATTGAAAATAATTATACGCATAAAAAATAACAGGTTGGAGGAATAAGGTTCGACAAAACCATGAATTGATGTAATAATAATAAAAAAAAAATGAATAGGAAACGTGCGTAACAACACTATGATACGAATTTTGAATTAATTTATTGTTTCCTGAAATGACTAGTATATTAAGTTGCGGCACAGTTTATGTAGCTATTCTGCATTTTCAGTTTTTTGTTTTTTCCCTGCACGTCCAGGTTTTTTTTTTCGACTTTTTTCGAAAAATGTCGATTTGGACCATCATCGGTGAACAAGTATTTTCATAATTTCACTTATTATGAAGAGCTAGTTGAAACTATGGTGTCTCCGTAGTCGGCAAGGATGTGCCCTTCCAACGCGGCAATAACCAATGAAATCGATTAACCTGGTGGAAAATAATAGAGATATATGTGTTCTCACGAATTCGAAAAATATCAATTTTTATCATATTTTTGCACACATGAAACCACACATTTTTTGAACAACAAACAATACTTGGGTTTTTATTGCTGGTAATGATAGTACATGATGTCTAGATTATATCATGGCCGTTGAGCACATTCGACCATTGCATAGATATGATATACAGTATCATTTGTGGTTCTCATGAAAATCATCAATTTTTGATGATTTTATCAATTGACCGCATACTCATTTCTTTGTGCATCCACGCACACTGGAATGTATTTTAATCGATATTTGAAGTGCATTCGCACTCTTCCTATCGTAGAAAACCAAATCAATGTCTATCAGTTTAATCGCACTGATAAAACATGCATATCAATTATGCTTCCGTTTGATATCAATTTTTGCGGTGTAGACTATTGATATCTTTATTCATTACAAATCGGACGAATTAAAACATAGCATTTTGTGGTTTTATTGCATTATATAATTACTGTGAAGTGAGAAATTATCATTTAAATTCATAAATTCGTCACATTGTAACGAATAAATTTTGCTTGAATTAAAGTGCAATATGAAAACAAAGTGGGTTTTATACAATCGAAAGGAATTGCACGTATTAAGACCAATTCTTAATACAATCGGGCACAGCAGATTTTGCGCAATAAAACAAAGTGGTTTAAAAAATGTACATGCGGCCATAATTCCACATAAAAATCACCTAACATTGTTGAAAGCAGCACCAATTGAGGTCTGCGAACAAAAGGTGAAAGAACCTGAAAGTTTTCTATTCTATGGTGATGAAATACGTTTAAAAGGGCCGCGGCGTTCCACCTCATTCTACATAACGACGATCGATAACTTACTAAAAAAAGGATACATCGAAACAATCGACATCTCCGACGATGATTGTGACGAAAGCGAAAATGACTACAACGAAGGCGAAGATGATACAGCGAACAAAAACAACAACGAACCAATTGACTTCACCCAACAAAAGGAGTTATCAACGATTGACTCAGCATCAGCATCCAATGATCCTGATAACGAGTTAATTCTTGCATGTGAATGCTGCAACATGCCCATCGCGTATTTCAAATCCATTGATGTCCATGAATATTTTCAAAAAGAGGATAATGAAATTTATTTGGACTCGTACGAAGACACTTGGCTTGAAAAGGTTGGAAAACATTGGGTATGCAAAGGCTGTGCAATTGTATTTTCAAAGCCAAACTGTCAACATCCAACCATCGACTGCACGAACGCTTACGTGTCAACATTGGGTCAAGCTCAAAGCATGTTCAACGAGAACTAGCGAACTAGCAGGATTTCCATACAAAAACTAATGAAATTATTAGAATTAACAAAAATTTGGATATAATAGTAACAATTTATTCTTGAATGTATTGCAATAGTGCATTAAAATAAAACACGACTCATTTGTTTCATTGAACTGATTTTTATTTTGCTTCTTAATGCTAGAGTATAACAATAAAAAAGTTGCTGAACTTTATTTTTTAATATTTGGATAGAAAAACAAACAATTTTTTAATATTTTTGCCATGGGACAGACGATATATTTATGGTATTAGAAGTGTTTCTTTGGTCCTCGTCTTTTGTGGATAGCCCTGGTGTCTCTCAAAATATACCAGCAATACTCACCCAACATGTTCGGTGTGTAGCGGTTGTTGAACCTATCCTCCATATCGCCGATGTCTTGATGAAACCGTTCCCCATGTTCGTCACTAAAATCGCCGAGATTATCAGGGAAAAAGTTTAAATGGGACTTCAGGAAATGCATTTTCAGAGATAGATGAGCCCCAATATCTCCATAGTTTCTCAACATTTCGGCGATAAGTGTTTCATAGTTTGGGTCCCTATAATTTCCAAGAAACCCATCAACAACACGTTCAAAAGACATCCAAGCTCTGAGTTGGACAAGTGTTAGTGTTTCTTCGAACTCTGCACTATGTAGAACTTTCCTTATTTGTGGGCCAACAAATATCCCTTGATGGATTTTCGATGTACTCAACCTTGGAAACATTGTGTACAATAAATCCATTACTGGGTGATCTTCTCCGAGGGCTTTTATGAATTGCGTCATTAAACCCAGTTTTATATGTAACGGCGGTAAAATAATGTTCTCTTTCGGTACGAGTTGCCGTTCTATAATGCTGTATTCTTCCGTATTCGTATTCGCTGTTCTTGCTGGCCAATTTGCTGTAGTATAGTGCTGTGAATAAGCCCTGCTGTCCCATAAGCACAAGAAGCACGGGTATTTCGGATAGGCTTTCTTTAGGCCCATCAACAAACCAATAACTTTCAAATCTGCCACAATTTTGAAATTGAAACGCGTGTACTGAATCAAATTCAAAATTTGTTTCATTGTGTCATACTCCTCTTTTACGCCTATACCAAATGCTACCGGAATGGATGGTTTCACGTTTCCATTGTTTAGCAGAACAGCTTTGAGGCTGGTTTTGGCTCCATCGATGAATAACCGCCACTCATCGGCAACGAACTCCTGTTGCATTACTTGGAAAAGTTGAGGAATGTCTTTGCAATAAGTGATTTTACCCTCAGTTGCGAAGCATTCCGCCAAATGTGCGCTTCTTTGACGAACAGCTATAATGCTAACGTCTGGAAATATATTTTTGTTTTAATCAAAACATATTTTCGGTATTTTTATTGATTAAAAAAAAAACACTTTAAAAAATCACCTTTTTGAAGTAAAGACCACTGCTGCAGTCGCGAGCCTAATAGCTCTGACATGTTTTTTGATAAATTCAGATCCCTAACAAGATCATTTGAATCACCCTGTGACAACATATGCGGCTCCGTTGTATCTGGAATGTATAGTGGATCGGAACTGGTTGATGGTCCATATAAAAATTCGTCATCTTCGTCTTCATCTTCTTCCGGACATGAATCGGGATGTTGTGCACACTGTTGTGGTGATTGTGGAATTGGAATTTCATCAGAATGTGGAACAGGGAGCGTAACCGAATCGACAGTGGCATAATGCACATTTTGTATATTTCTTTTGGAAAAACCAAATACATGTGTTAAACAAATGTAGCAGTTGGTGGCGTGGTTGATTGGATCCCTCCAAATCATCGGCCTGCCAAAAGTGAAGTGTCCTTTGCCTCTGGCCCAATCATTTAGGCGATTTCGACATGAAACACATACAATATGAGGTACCCAACAACGATCTTGATTTGTTATATCCAAGTTGAAATATTGCTTGTAAAGTGTACTGATCCTGGGCTTGATAAGCTTTCTTTGGCCGAGAACAGTAATCTTTCCGCAAATGTAGCAGAAATTATCGCTTGATTTATTACATCGTAACTCTCGAACACGCTGCATGATTTTATATTAAATTTCGAATTTATTTGCAATATTCTTTTGCACTGCTTTGTAACAAAAACACTGACTGAATGCATCATGGCGCATCCTGTGCATTTATATAATGCAAATAAACCACAAAATTCTATTTTTTAATTCGTTTGATACGCAATGATAACGATATCAATAGTCTAAACCGCAAAAATTTGAAAGACAACAGAAACTTAATTGATATGCATGTTTTATCAGTGCGACTAAACTGATAGACATTGATTTGGTTTTCTACGATAGGAAGAGTGCGAATGCACTTCAAATACCGATTAAAATACATTCCAGTGTGCGTTGATGCACAAAAAAATGAGTATGCGGTCAATTGATAAAATCATCAAAAATTGATGATTTTCATGAGAACCACAAATGATACTGTATATCATATCTATGCAATGGTCGAATGTGCTCAACGGCCATGATATAATCTAGACATCATGTACTATCATTACCAGCAATAAAAACCAAAATATTTTTTGTTGTTCAAAAATTGTGTGGTTTCATGTGTGCAAAAATATGATAAAAATTGATATTTTTCGAATTCGTGAGAACACATATATCTCTATTATTTTCCACCAGGGTAATCGATTTCATTGGTTATTGCCGCGTTGGAAGGGCACATCCTTGCTGACTACGGGGACACCATAGTTTCAACTAGCTCTTCATAATGAGTGATATTATGAAAATACATGTTCACCGATGATGGTCCAAATCGACATTTTTCGAAAAAAGTCGAA